CCAATCTGCTCATAATTTCACATAAAAGTTGTTTATTGGATGGATTTCTGGTTTTCTCCACGTATATATAAACTCTCTTGAACTCAGATGTCTTTGGAAATGTCTTTAGGGCAAGAACAATGACAAATGGAGACCCGTTAGTAGGATTTCAATATGGAAAGGCAGACGAATCACGCAGACAGACAAACTGGGTCTTGAGGACTGGAAATGGTTAAAACTGTCTGGGTATCTGGGTCTGGTTGGGGAGGGGTTGACACGTTGAGTTGCTGATGGGTTTAAAAGGGGGCACACAAGTTTCAGACATCCCGTAGCCTTGTAAATACCTCCCCTTGATTCGTTACTGACAGGCCCTCTGGAGACAGAAGATGGAGACCCCGGTCAAGGGGAGTTGGAGTAGAATGGAGTCATGGAGGGTAGAGGTAGTGGTAGGGGGTAGGAGGCTAGGAGGGTTGGAATGGTTGTCTTGAGATCTGTCTCCTATCACTCACTCAGACACAAAACAAATACAACATACCGTCTATGTCATCCTCTCTCAAATGCTGCACAAGTTTGGAAAGGTATGGTGGAAAAGTATGAGCATGGGTTGATGATGGCCTACATACTGTACATGTGGCATGGATGGAATACAGCTGAATGGTGTCCGAGAGAGAGAGAGAGAGATGGAAAGAGAGCGACAGAGAGACAGAGGGGGAGAGAGAGAGAGACAGAGGGGGAGAGAGAGAGAGAGAGAGAGCGAGAGGTGTGGAGGGAATAATGAGTCAGAGATGTTACATGGTGTCTCTACTGTAATCTGCTTGCTGCCTGAGACTTGTCAGAAGTGTGTCTAGATTTTCTGAGAAAGTGGTTAGGGGGGGAAGGAGAGGGGGATGAGAGGGAGGGAGGGAGGGGGGTTGACAAGGCTGCTGCAACGAAAGGAAGTGTCAAACTCCACCCCTCCGCTCAGAGAGAAAGATCAGACTTGCTCTGACAAAACACAGGCCTCAGGCCTTACAGAGAATGAGAGGAGGAGGAGGAGGAGGAGGAGGAGGAGGAGGAGGAGAGGAGAGGAGAGGAGAGGAGAGGAGAGGAGAGGAGAGGAGAGGAGAGGAGAGGAGAGGAGAGGAGAGGAGAGGAGAGGAGAGGAGAGGAGAGGAGAGGAGAGGGAGTCTTTTGACTGCTCCTACCTTTCCACATTTCGATTATTGAACACACCACAGGCAGTCAGATACACACACACACACACACACACACATACACACATACACATACACAGCATGAAGACACACCTCCTTTTACACATTTTATGGAGCACACAAACTTTGAAGGCTGGAAAATAACCACTGATCTCAGAACTGTTAAAACTCTCTAGGCCCTCATTGCAGCGGGTTCCCTACTGATCCGGGAACTAAATAACATGTCTCACGTTACGCCATCCGCAACATTAAAGACTTCGCTCACAGCTAGCACTACACCTAGTTACAGTGCATTTCCTGTACGGTGTCCTGCTGAGACTGAGGCTGTCCAAATAAGGTCACCGTAATATGTGCCAGTTTATAGTTGACCGTCAAATCTGCTCCGGATAGACGTCATTGTGTCGCTATTTACGTGTTTGTTGTCAATGGTGTCACTAATCAATCTCGTTCTAGTAATCACGGTGATGTTGACAAGATGACACAAGTTGACTAACGTACGCTAATTGTCACCTCATTAAAAAGACAAATAATAGATAGGTTAGGTCCACTTGAGTGCCTATGAACAGTATCTGGCCCCGTTACCTTTGCTACTGTAACAAGCAGACAAAAAGTTGTCTCTGTCATGATTGGGGGCATATTCAGTGAATGGGGGCATCAGCGGAACAGCATGAATGGTGAGAGAGTTCAAGAAACATATGCCAATGTGCGAAAGCATCTTGGTGGGCATTGCACGGTACGTCAATGAGACTAACTCAACTTGAGTGGTAAACTGTAATGTACCACGCTATACTGCCCATTCAAGCTCCCTAAACCATCAAACAATATCCACAACAATAATTCTTATCGATGTCAAATACATGTTTTACTTTGCAGTATACACAAGTAAAATAACCACAATCATATCAAATCAAATCAAATTGTATTAATCACATGCTTTGTAAACAACAGGTGTAGACTAACAGTGAAATGCTTACTTACGGGCCCTTCCCAACAATGCAGAGAGAAAGAAATAGAGAAATAATAGAAAAGTAATAAAATGTAAAAGTAATAATAAATACACAGTGAGTAACAATAACTTGGCTCTATACACAGGGTACCAGTACGGAGTCGATCTGCAGGGGTACGAGGTAATTAAATAATAATATGCCATTTAGCAGACGCTTTTATCCAAAGCGACTTACAGTCATGCGTGCATACATTATTTATTTTTTGTGTGTATGGGTGGTCCCGGGGATCGAACCCACTACCTTGGCATTACAAGCGCCGTGCTCTACCAGCTGAGCTACATGTAACTAGGAATAAAGTGACAGATAATAAACAGTAGCAGCAGCGTATGTGATGAGACAAAAAGGTTAGTGCAAAAAGGGTCAGTGCAGATAGTACGGGTAGCTATTTGGTTAACTATTTAACTAACTATATCCAATGGTCCTTAGATCTCTAACAACTGCTTCCCGGATACTTTACCCTACAGCAGGGTCAACTACAACACTGTGTGGTCTAGATACCTAGACACTAACAGAACCCATGTAGAGCACACTGAACACTTTGCATTGTGCACCTCAGCCCTCTCAAAGTCTTTCATATACAGCTGTCAACAAACAGTGTAAGCCCTTTAAAATTAGTCATTAGAAGTGCACTGAGAACTCATTCAAGGATCCACCTAAACAAAACGTCAATTTGAGAGAGAGAGAGAGAGAGAGAGAGAGAGAGAGAGAGAGAGAGAGAGAGAGAGAGAGAGAGAGGAGAGAGAGAGAGAGAGAGAGAGAGAGAAACTTCTGAGTGTAATGTTTACTGTTAATATTTATTGTTTATTTCACCTTTGTTTACTACAGTGGGGGAAAAAAGTATTTAGTCAGCCACCAATTGTGCAAGTTCTCCCACTTAAAAAGATGAGAGAGGCCTGTAATTTTCATCATAGGTACACGTCAACTATGACAGACAAATTGAGAAAAAAAAATTATGGTGGAAAATAAGTATTTGGTCACCTACAAACAAGCAATATTTCTGGCTCTCACAGACCTGTAACTTCTTCCTTAAGAGGCTCCTCTGTCCTCCACTCGTTACCTGTATTAATAGCACCTGTTTGAACTTGTTATCAGTATTAAAGACACCTGTCCACAACCTCAAACAGTCACACACCAAACTCCACTATGGCCAAGACCAAAGAGCTGTCAAAGGACACCAGAAACAAAATTGTAGACCTGCACCAGGCTGGGAAGACTGAATCTGCAATAGGAAAGCAGCTTGGTTTGAAGAAATCAACTGTGGGAGCAATTATTAGGAAATGGAAGACATACAAGACCACTGATAATCTCCCTCGATCTGGGGCTCCACGCAAGATCTCACCCCGTGGGGTCAAAATGATCACAAGAACCACACGGGGGGACCTAGTGAATGACCTGCAGAGAGCTGGGACCAAAGTAACAAAGCCTACCATCAGTAACACACTACGCCGCCAGGGACTCAAATCCTGCAGTGCCAGACGTGTCCCCCTGCTTAAGCCAGTACATGTCCAGGCCCGTCTGAAGTTTGCTAGAGTGCATTTGGATGATCCAGAAGAGGATTGGGAGAATGTCATATGGTCAGATGAAACCAAAATAGAACTTTTTGGTAAAAACTCAACTCGTCGTGTTTGGAAGACAAAGAATGCTGAGTTGCATCCAAAGAACACCATACCTACTGTGAAGCATGGGGGTGGAAACATCATGCTTTGGGGCTGTTTTTCTGCAAAGGGACCAGGACGACTGATCCGTGTAAAGGAAAGAATGAATGGGGCCATGTATCGTGAGATTTTGAGTGAAAACCTCCTTCCATCAGCAAGGGCATTGAAGATGAAACGTGGCTGGGTCTTTCAGCATGACAATGATCCCAAACACACCGCCCGGGCAACGAAGGAGTGGCTTCGTAAGAAGCATTTCAAGGTCCTGGAGTGGCCTAGCCAGTCTCCAGATCTCAAACCCATAGAAAATCTTTGGAGGGAGTTGAAAGTCTGTGTTGCCCAGCGACAGCCCCAAAACATCACTGCTCTAGAGGAGATCTGCATGGAGGAATGGGCCAAAATACCAGCAACAGTGTGTGAAAACCTTGTGAAGACTTACAGAAAACGTTTGACCTGTGTCATTGCCAACAAAGGGTATATAACAAAGTATTGAGAAACTTTTGTTATTGACCAAATACTTATTTTCCACCATAATTTGCAAATAAATTCATAAAAAATCCTACAATGTGATTTTCTGGATTTTTTTTCTCATTTTGTCTGTCATAGTTGACGTGTACCCATGATGAAAATTACAGGCCTCTCTCTTCTTTTTAAGTGGGAGAACTTGCACAATTGGTGGCTGACTAAATACTTTTTTTCCCCACTGTATCTACTTCACTTGCTTTGGCAATGTTAACATACGTTTCCCATGCCAATAAAGCCCTTAAATTGAAATTGAATTGAATTGAGAGAGAGAGACAGACAGAAAGAGACATTTGTACTTTAACTATTTGCACATTGTTACAACACTGTATATATACATAATATGACATTTGAAATGTCTGTATTCTTTTGGAACTTCTGAGTGTAATGTTTACTGTTAATATTTATTTTTTTATTTCACATTTTTTTACTATCTACTTCACTTGCTTTGACAATGTTAACATACGATTTCCATGCCAATAAAGCCCTTAAATTGAATTGAATTGAATTCAGAGAGAGAGAGAGAGATTGTCTGAAGACAGGAGATTGAAGAGGTTGAAGACGAGTAAAGGTGCCAGCCCTCTAGGTTCACACACAGACTTGCACTTCGAAGCACGTTTTTTATAGGGCCGTCTGTGATCTAACCAATGGATGCTCCAGGTGCACCAGGGGTGCCTCGCCAGATCACTCCTTTATGCTTGTGAAGCTGTACCTCCACCCTCTCTCCTCTCCCCTCCTCTCTCCTGGATATCTTTGAGGAGACTCCTGATAAAGAGCCAATGCCTGGGGCTCAGTGGGATGTCTAATGGGATGTGTCTGCCTGCACAGGTTCAACCAAACTATGACGAGCTCCCTTCTGCATTACTGGGTCTCGTGGCATCGCTCAGCCTCTCTAGAACACAGATGTGTTAGAGAAAGGAAATGCATTTATTACAGTTAGGCTACTACACCTTATTATTAAATGAACTGGAATCAAGATGTTGATTGGCAATGTTGCATGGTTTGCAAGCTTCAAACGTTTCCTTATTCACATTTATCTCTTAATTGTGTAAAAACCTTATCATACTATGCCTGTACACAAGAAATAAGCTAACCTAGACATGTATATCAGTTTGGATCATTACTAGTACCACATTGGATGTGTCACTGTTGGGTTACCATATAACCAACCAATCAGCAGGTAGTATTATACAGTTCTTACTAATGTGCCAGTATAGGAGTTCATTAGCAGTCTTATAGTTTTAGTGTTTAATAAAAACATGACCGACAGATCTCCCTCTTCAAGGAGATTAGTATCTCTCCAGCCTGCTCTGCTTTGTTTTAACACGTCTCAGGAATGTTTATTGTCACTTATAAATGGTAGGACACACAGGAGGCTGCTTTTAATATGAATTCCTCTGTGTGTGTGTGTGTGTGTGTGTGTGTGTGTGTGTGTGTGTGTGTGTGTGTGTGTGTGTGTGTGTGTGTGTGTGTGTGTGTGTGTGTGTGTGCCTGCCTGCATGTACCTCCAGTAGTGACTAACGTCCAAACACTGAGGAGATCAGGATCAATGCTTAGGGGTCAAGGATTATATGGGTTGTTCCAAAAAACGTGTGAGTTCATCTTAAATCAGCCATGAACCCCCTTCTGACAGGGTGAATGGAAGCGTGTTGTGTGCAACAGGAAGTGGCAATTGAATGCAAGCTTCATAAAAAAAGAATGCAATTGTTACAACATTTCTAGCCTGTCTATTTATGGGTAACAGGGTTGACATGTTATGTTTACGGAAGGACATGTCAAAATGCTGAATTTCGGCACATTTGCAAGTCTTTATTCATATAAAAAATCTGATTTATTGAATTCTCCATGGGGTCTATAGTAAAAGGCACTTCATTTAATATAACAGGCTTTTAAAATGCAATATTGGTGCACAATATCTACTTAAAATATCAAAGGGATGCAAAAAGCACTCTTTTCATGGGATGACCCTTATGCAAATCAGTACAGCATTCCTTACTGCTATCTCTATTTGGTTTCCAGGTCTCAGACCAATGGAGGTTAAAAAATACTAACTATCTTGGCAAGACAACTGACAGGGTATTCATTATGGATTCCCCTACATATTGACTTATAGATAAGTTAAACCTAGAGCCAAGATTTGCCCTGTTCGAAAAGATTGGACCAACATGTTCTTGTGCTCGACTGTTAAGCTAAGATTGGATCTGTTTTATCTCTGTGTTTCAACACATTTCCGCATAGCACAACTCAGTGGCCTTGTGGTTAGACTGTCTGCCTTGAGATTGGAAGGTCGTGAGTTCAATCCCTGGACGAGTCATACCAAAGACTGTAAAAATGGGACCTGATGCATCTCGCTTGGCACTCAGCATTAAGGAGATAGATTGGGGGTAAGGCTCTGTGATAGACTAGTGTCCTGTCCTGGGGGTGTACCTCTACATCAAGCTGCCTCACGCTACAGAAACAAGAGGTAGGCTCCTGCCCTATGAGCAGTTCCGGCTTGTGCAAGGCTACTTACTTACATGTTTCCATAGGCTAAGGCTCAGTCCTACATGGAAAATGGAAGTTACATCATGTTGAATCATTATTGTCTTTGTCCACCCATATTACAATGGGCATAGGCATATGCCACACAGTTGGAATTCAATCCATCCATCAAAAATGTCAACAATTTTAATGGAATTGATCCCAACCATGATACACTATGCTTGGAGAACTCTGTTCCCATTGAGTGCTGTACTGTAGCTCTGTCTGTCTGTGTGATGGCTGTAGTGTGGGTTAGACCTATAATTACCCTTTATGTTCAGAGAGAGCCGCCGTAAGACCTGATCCTGTTTCCATTGACCTGACGCCACCCTAAGAACCGGACAAACACACACACACACACACACACACACACACACACACACACACACACACACACACACACACACACACACACACACACACACACACACACACACACACACACACAGTCACCTACCCAGCAATCTGCCTGTCATGCAAAGGTCCAGCAGACCCGCCTCTCTCTTTGGTCCCAAAGTAATTGAAGGGGTGGTGTGTGTCTGTGGCTCTGCTTGCTTTCACCAGTGGTACTTTGACCACAAACATCATGAGCCGAATAATAACACTGACCCTGAACCAGTTGGAGAGAACTGAAAGTACAGTACAGTAATAGGGCTTGGAGTACTGTCTGGGCTTGGAGTACTGGGTCAGTTTGACTGGACAGAGTGTGTTCTGTGTGACTGGACTGGCCAGAAGGCTTAAGCGGGTCAAAGTTGAATGGAATGGATGACCATTGCGGTCATGATTTGTTGGTAGAGTAGATGGCTGGTTTCCTATAATCTTAGTGGGCCTTGAAATGGAGAGAGATAAACAAGGAAAACACTAAATATATACAAATTACTTTCCTGTACAATTATACCGTAGTCAGTCATTGGTTTGACAAGATGTTTTTCACAAATGGTTACCATATATTGTGAATATGTATTTACTGTTTCTGCCCTGTGATAGGAAGTTATTTTGACCTATTTTATTTGCACATACACTTGGTACAGCCTTGGTGGTCCTCCATTTTACAGATTGATACATTTCCCAATGTTCTCGGCTTTGCCCTGACCTCTCCTCTTTAACCTTTGACCCCCAGCTGCACTTTAAGGTAACTAGGCCATTCTCCCCCTGCTGACCTGTTCCAAACTAAAGCAACTCTAGGTGCTTGGCCTTCTAGCCTATAGCCTCCCACCTCAGACCTTTCTCTCTCCTTTGCCCTCTCACCCTGTCACCCCCACACACACCTCACATCCCGTTACTTGCATGAAAGGTTAGGTTGGCCTCTTTCTATCCTTGACATCTTAGGGAAGGGATCACTGCCGCTACCTCGCTTTCGAACCAAGGTGCATGAATTGAGGAGCAAACTGAAGGAGAGGGGAGAGTCAGCAACGCTTGGAGGACAAAGGAATACAATAAAAAAAGCTTATTTATTGCTAAAAGTAGAACCTCAACCTCTCACCTCTGCCCCCATCCTTTACCACCCACCAATACCCATGCACCCCTCTACAGTAGTTCTGACCTATAAGCCCTGACCTTTTCCCTCCCCCTAGGATCCCGGACAGAGGCACCATGAGGTCGGCCTGTCTCTCTCTGCTCCTGGTCACAGCGTGCTGGTCACTGCCCTTCCGCCAGTCGGGCTTCCTGGACTTCATGATGGAGGATGAGGCGGGCTCTGGCCTGCCCGAGTTGCCCATCGAGCCCAAGATGGACGTCCCCACCATGCCCGAAGGACCCAAGTGCCCCTTCCGCTGCCAGTGCCACCTCCGCGTGGTGCAGTGCTCCGACTTAGGTAAGACACTCTCCTAATAAATTATATTTAATATCATGACCGTATGTAGTGCATTTCTAATTCTGTGATTCGATGTGTTTTCATGAGCTGAGGTCAATTTGTCAGTGTAATATGGACAACCTGTTGCATCAGCTCTTCTCTCCCTCTCTCGCCTAACTGAGGCAGTCCCTTAGTTTACAAGCTACATCTTCTTCGTTCCCCAAGAGGTGTTCCCTCCATCCTCAGAGGGATGTTCAAAGAGTGTCTGGCGTTTGATCTATCAGCTCGTTAATTGGCCTAAAAGAACATCGCCCCAGCCCGACCACTTTAAACGCTCTCAGATGCTGCAAACTTCCATGTCTTCCGCGACGATTACATAGTTTTGCAGTGACTTTGGCCTTTTTCTCATTTTCCTAATTGTTTTTGCAGATTCAGGGATATAAAAGGTTGGCGGGGCTTGGGAAAGTCTCGAACTAACCCCGGTTTAACAAGCCCAATGTTCTAAAGCTTGTTTTTTTCTCCGTCAGATCGCTCCATTCTCCATCCTCTTCGGAGGCAAATGAACTCTGCCACGAATTAGCCTAGTGCTCTGTTTTCTTCACAATTAAAATGATTTACTTGATCCTCTTAATTGTTTGCGAGATTATCCTGTTTGTTTGCTTCATCCACCCTTTAGCTTTGGCCTGACTCATCTCTAGGCCTACTGCTCTGCCAAGGGAAGTCACTGACCCAGTTGATTGGCTGTATCTTATATAGCTTGTATAATTTTGCAATTCTTCACCTACGAGTTTGGTTCGTTTTTTGGCTTTACTCTTGTTTTAAAAGGGAGGAGCAGGGGAGGAATACTGGAGACAGACGAAGACAGAGTGAGAGATACAGATGGACTGGGATGTATACGCAGAGAGGAGAGAGAAAGAAAGAAACAGACAGACAAAATTGTACAGAGCGAGACAGAGACATGTGAAAGAGAAGGAGGGAGAGGGACAGAGAAAGAGAGAGGAGAGATCAAGAAAACAGTGAGTTCCAGTGGAGGAAGAGAAAGATAGACTGACCTACACAGCCAGACAGACAGACAGACCAACTCCGACAGACAGATGGAGAGACTGATGATCAGGAAAGGGCTGGTTCCATTACCTCACCGGGGCCTGTTAGCGCTGAACGTCTCCCAGGAGAGAGAGCCCCAGAGCTGGATCCTCATCTCCGGCACCGGCCCCTCTGGCCTGGAGCCTGCATCTGTTCCCCAGACCTGCTGGCACACACACAGGCCTGGGATGGGAGGGGAGGGGAGGGGAGGGGAGGGGATTGGTCTGCTCTCCATCCAAAGTCACCCCCTTTCACAGTTAGAAACCTGGAAGAAAAAGGAAAAGTTAGCACAAGGCCTTATTTCTGCAGGCTTCCAGCTGGCGCTGCGTGCTACAGTTATCACATGTGTAAGAGCAGAGATGAAGCAGGAAGTACTGCTAGTAGTCTAGACATTCACCAGACGTAGTTACAGTACATTTATTTTAAAAATACGTTTGGCAATTACTCTACAGGCATTGTGGTGTACTATCAAAACAGCTTCCTTTCTTGCTGAGTTTGGAAATGAGGTTTTATGAACATGGGGCAGGTTTCATTAAGGTTTAGATTAAAAACACGTTGATGTTACAGTCGTCAAAGACCTTCATCTGACAGGGATATAATGTTCCCAGTTACCTTGAACTAGCCCGTCTAGGTCAGTTTGATTTGATGGGTCCCTATGTGTCAACAGGTGTTGTGGATGACAAAAGCACTCCTTTTCCCAATGCCCTGATTGAACTGGGTCATTACTAGTATTGCTGACAGGCGTAGCTACATTGTGTCTGCTGTGAATGGACAACGTACTGGAAAACTCACGCTCAACTCAGGGACAATCAGACCCATAATGACTGAACAGACGTTCCCCTCACAAGGGGCGAAGGTTACAGTAGACCCCCCAAAAAAAGGATTGCAGTGCTGGAAATTGCATAAACGTTGCCATTAATGCTTGGATGTGCTGAACGCATGAGGGCGATCATACCCTTGATATCACATTCATTCGGCTTTTATTGAAATTATGACTACAATAAAGGGACTATGTTTGCATTCAGCTCCTATTTTTCTAGTCTTCCACTTGCCAAGAGGTCATCTTACCATGCCAGTATCTCAACAAGAACAGAGCGTACTATCTCAGCTTCTGGTTCCTCTCACTTACTTATGAATCAGCCAAGCCGACTTTCTTAAATGAAAACATAATCTGCAGAGCACTGGGACGATCTGACCAGCCATTTTATCTATGATGTTGCTATGGAAATGCTCCCAAGTTTGAACAAAGTAATTCACTTATTTATTTATTTTTAGAGATGTTTTTACTTTTAATGGAAGATTCAGCCCTTTTATATTGAACATTCAGCCCTTTGTTATCAAAGGTTGGGACCAGTGAGTGTGATCAGAGGCCTTTATAAATACATCCATTACACACAGGTGGCTCATAGCAGAAGTCTGTGGTCTGCTATTCAGTCTTTCTCTTCCAATCCTTCCATAGGCCAAAAACTCTGAGACTAAACAACATCTCAACCAGACTTTCCTGCCACCTGACTCTCAGTAACTGACCTCTCACCCCTGCCCCCATCTCCTACACACAGACACGCTCTCTCCAAACTGTTTACCGTACCAACCACGTCAGCTCTGACTCTGACAGAACGCCATGTGTTCACCTCACGCTGCTAGAGGAAAAGAAAGAGAGAGCGAAAGAGAAGAATAACAAGGATGGATTGGGGTAGAGAGAGGATGGGGGAGAAAGGAGAGAGAGATAGAGAAGAGAGATGATGCAAGATGGGTCGAGCCGCTCGGGGAGAGGGAGAGTATGGCGAGGCTGAGGCTGCGCGAGCTGGAGCTTCTCCTCCTCGGAAGAGCTGGCCCGCCGAGAGAGGGATGGAGATGGAAAGGAGAGGAGAGAGAGAGAGAGGATGGAGATGGAAGAGAGGAGAGTAGAGAGAGAGGAGAGAGGAGAGGAGGAGATGGAGAGGAAGAGAGGAGAGAGAGGAGAGGGAGATGGAGAGAGAGGGGAGAGAGAGGAGATGGAGATGGAAAGAGAGGAGAGAGAGAGGAGATGGAGATGGAAAGAGAGGAGAGAGAGAGGAGATGGAGATGGAAGAGAGGAGAGAGAGAGAGGAGATGGAGATGGAAAGAGAGGAGAGAGAGAGGAGATGGAGATGGAAAGAGAGGGAGAGAGAGAGAGAGGAGATGGAGATGGAAAGAGAGGAGAGAGAGAGAGGAGATGGAGATGGAAGAAAGAGAGAGAGAGAGAGGGGATGGAGATGGAAAGAGAGGAGAGAGAGAAATGGGATGGAGATGGAAAGAGAGGAGAGAGAGAGAGGAGATGAAGATGGAAAGAGAGGAGAGGGAGAGAAGAGATGGAGATGGAAGAGAGGAGAGAGAGAGATGGAGATGGAAAGAGGAGGAGATGAGAGAAGAGGAAGAGATGGAGATGGAAGAAAGAGAGGAGAGAGAGAGAGATGGAGATGGAAGGAGGAGGAGAGGAGGATGGGATGAGAAGAGAGGAGAGAGGAAGATGGCAATGGAAAGAGAGGAGAGAGAGAGAGAGGAGATGGAGATGGAAAAGAGGAGAGAGAGAGGAGATGGAGATGAAAAAAAAAAAAGAGAGGAGAGAGGGAGAGGAGATGGAGATGGAAAGAGAGGAGAGAGGAGATGGAGATGGAAAGAGAGGAGAGAGAGAGGAGATGGAGAGAAGAGAGGAGGAGAGGAAGATGGAGATGGAAAGAGAGGAGAGAGAGAGAGGAGATAGAGATGGAAAGAGAGGAGAGAGAGGATGGAGACTGGAAAGAGAGGAGAAGGAGGGAGAGGAGAGGAAAGATGAGAGAGGAGAGATGGAGATGGAAAGAGAGGAGAGAGAGAGAGGAGATGGAGATGGAAAATGGGGAGCAAGTAGATGAGAAAGAGACGTGAAGGAAGGGTGAAGGGATAGAGTGTGAGAGAAGGAGATGAGGAGTGAGAGAATGTAAGATATTAAGTGGGAGTTGGAGATGGAGAGAGGGAGCACAAGAGGGATATGCAGCACAGTGGGAGCCTACCACAGACAGCTGTGTGGAGGATTGTGGGGCTTGGGTAGGGGTTGGAGAAACTGATAGAAAAGCCAACTGAGCTGAAGAGAATGTTTGTGTAAGTGGGTTGTGCTCAAAGCTTTTAAGCCAAAGTGTGTCTGCATATGTGGAGTTTATAAAACACAGCATTTAAGCCTTGAATGACTAAACAGTTTATTCTAGAGACAACCACCGCCCTCTAGAATGGAAACCAGCCATGTGAACCTTGACCCTAAGCCATTGTGTTGTTTAGATGACTTGTGGTAGCTCTCTGTGTTCGCCCTCTATTTAAAACAATACCCATGGAATAGAACAGAACAGAACAGAATAGAGTAGAATATAAAAGAATAGAATAGAATGGAATGGAATAGTATAGAAGACAACAGAATAGATTAGAACACAATAGAGTGGAATAGAACACAATAGAATAGAATGGAATAGAACACAATATAATAGAATGGAATAGAACACAATATCATAGAATAGAATAGAATAGAATAGAATAGAATAGAATAGAACACAACAAAATAGAATGGAATAGAATAGAACAGAACAGAACAGAACAGAATAGAATATAAAAGTTAGAATAGAACATAACATATTACACAACAATACATAATGTACCCAATACATATACATAGTGTATACCTCACCCCAGCTCATAATTCCCTTACACTTCTCCCTCAGAACATATGGTTCTGGTTTACCAGTCATATAGACAGGTGCCATTTACTGTCTCAGTGCCAAATAATGCAATGTACTCTCCAACCCAAACTGCATGCAATGAGGTCAGTGTCCAGGTATGTGGACACTGGAAATTGGTGGAAATTATTTTCAAGGCCCATTTCCACACTGTGTGCCATAGATTGTTTCAATGCTAACTCATGGCGCATCTGGTACAACTCAAGTCTGGACTGTTACCATGAAACACATCATATTTTGGTTCCTTAGGGTTATTTGTTATAATGGTTGGTCTACGATGGCCTAGAGTTCAGAGGTCAGAGACAGAATGCTGTTGTTGTGCTCACTTTCTGTGGTCAGTTTCAGGGTAGAAGTCAATTTATTTGATGCAAAACACATCATCATGATGATGTGGCAAGTGACACTTTGCTTCTTGAAAGACAAATATCTTGAAAACTTGACTGCTGACATGCAAAACATTTTGGGACTATATCATCCGTAGACTAATGAAAAAAACACCAAAAGATAGTTTTTTAGTGGATTTTTCTTTATTGTAATTCCTAAACTGAGGTTAGATGGCATTGACCCCAGCCCTGGTCTGATGGTCAGTAGACATGCAGACAGCTGGAGAGCAGGCGGTCGTAGTGTGACCATTCCCCATGGGGCCTCAATGTGGATAATGCTGTGTATAACTACAACCAGTTAGCAAGTCTGAAATTTCAGAGTTTCCTAGTTCCGACTAGCATGTGAACGCGGCATAAACTCTCGACCAGAGCTAGGGCCATCGCGCTCCACTGCGAACTCCATTTCCCATCAGCCAGCAGCCACAGCTGCAGCACAGCTCAGGAAGTTTCTTGTCACCTGGACAAACATACCATACACACGCCCAAGTGTGCACACCATCTCTCACACACACACACACTCCTCATCATGCGTCATCATACACACACATGCTCATGGCAGGGTTGGGCCAAACCTCATTTCATTCAACATCATTAACTCTGAAATTAAATGTAAAGTAAAATTGAATTTAAAAAATTGAATAATTAATTAATTTAAATCACATAGAGCTATAAAACTAGCTTCAACGGGCTGGCCTAGAAGTATCTCTCCTCTCCTTTCCTGTTTTGTCTCTGTCTGTGAGTATCTCTCCTCTCCTTCCTCTTCCTCTGCAGGGCTGAAGAGTATCCCAGATGAGATCCCTGCAGACAGCACCCTGCTGGACCTGCAGAACAACAAGATCACTGAGATCAAGGAGAACGACTTCAAGACTCTGAAGGGACTCCACGTAAGAGTTTAACACTCAATATGTCCCATCCACTAAACACTCAATATGTCCACTAAACACTCAATATGTCCCCTAAACACTCAATATGTCCCCTCCACTAAACACTCAATATGTCCCCTCCACTAAACACTAAATGTATCCACTAAATACTCAATATGTCCACTAAACACTCAATGTCCACTAAATACTCAATATATCCACTTTGTTGCAGCTTTTCACCAAATAATGATTGGCCCCTTACTTTCAAAGCTCACGATTGCATTTTCCAAAAAACATTGATTCACAACTCGCCATTTTGTATCAATCATGCATAATTTTTCTAAGGAGTGCAATGTTAACATCCCTTCAAAGTATACTCCAGATTGAGTGTAAAAACCTGCATTTCTTGGGTAGGAGAGAGCTAAAGAGAAAACACTAAAGCTGATCTTGAAGCCGTGTTTTGTTGGACCACATCCTAACAGGCTTATTATACACGCAAAAGTATTGGCTGGAGTAAAGCAGTGGAAATCAGATTTATCTCTGGACTTTCTTGAGATGAGAGGGAGCTTAGGTGTGTGTGTGTGTGTGTGTGTGTGTGTGTGTGTGTGTCCCACGTGTATACTTTTCTTGGAGAGCTGATTTCTTGATCATATTCCAAAACACTAACATGTTTAACTAACTTGTTTAACTCTGATCAAAGATCCTAAAAATAGTCTACCAAAGGGAAAAGCACTGTAATCCACCTTCACTCATTTGTTTTTAACCACAGGAATCCAGGTACCAGTACTCCCCAAGTGCAATGGAAACTATTCTCCTCTGGGCCATCGCCTGACCTCTCTACACGTGTATAGCCTGTGTAAATAGCCTACCTCTGTCAAACGGCCAACACTGTTTCCACCCCCGTATATTAGTTGGTCTCTCCAGGGGACATTTGCTGCATTCTCTGCATTCTCCATTCTTCCACCCCCATCTGCAGCCGTGAGAATAGAATGGTCCACTAGAGAGACAGCAATTTCTCTTGCGAAATTTCTACGAAATTGCCTCCAATCACAACAACCCTGGCGCCTGTGCTCTTTAAGACGAGGTCCAAGGGTGTGTTGTGATTACTGTATAGACGTTAAAAAACAATCTCACGGGCCTCCCGAGTGGCGCAGCGGTCTAAGGCACTACATCACCGTGCTAGAGGTGTCACTACAGACCTGGGTTCGATCCCAGGCTGTGTCACAACCGCCAGTGATTGGGAGTCCCATTGGGCGGCGCACAATTGGCAGAGTGTCGTCAGGGTTAGGGGAGGGTTTGGCCAGGGAGCTTTACTTGGCTCATCACGCTCTAGCGACTCCTTGTGGTGGGCAGGCTGACCTCGGTCGTCAGTTGAATGGTGTTTCCTCCAACATATTGGTGCGGCTGGCTTCCGGGTTAAGCGCGCGGTTAAGCAGGTCATGTTTTGGAGGACGCGTGACTCGACCTTTGCCTCCCGTGCCCGTTGGGGAGTTGCAGCGATGAGACAAGATGGAAATTGGGGAGAAAAAGGGCATAATAAAAATTAATAAATAAACTCACATTTCAGTTACCTTGGATATGTTCAATTGAGTCAGTATAAACTTGGGAAATGTCATCAAACATAATCTAGAACATCTTATTTTGTTGATGTCAAGCATTTAAAATGCTCTCAACTAGTACAAAATAGTCAAAAATAGTCCAGTCTGGTTGTGAAGCAATTTGTGCAACCTCACTATGATATAATGAAATGTCTGCCTTCAATTACTTAATTTTACACACATAAACAATGATCACATACACCCACGGGAAGTTGTAGCCACATTAAATTATCATCAGCAAAACATTCACATTAGCACTATCTTAGATATAACAGGGATTGTTCTCTCTCCAATCTCCCCAGACCCTGATCCTGGTGAACAACCAGATCACCACAATCCATCCCAAGGCCTTCATTCCCCTGGGCAAGCTGCAGCGCCTCTACCTCTCCAAGAACCACCTCAAGGAACTGCCCGCCAACATGCCCAAGAGCCTGCAGGAGCTTCGCATCCATGAGAACAAGATCACTAAGATCAAGAAGGCCTCCTTCGAGGGCATGGCCCAGGTCATCGTCATGGGTATGGACCAGACCTGGGTTCAAATACAATTTGAAATCTTTCAGATACTTTGAGCGCTTGCTTTAGCCTGCCTGGATTGCCTTAATGACCAGTCTGTTTTCTTCTGTTGGGTGCATAATGAACTCAACCCATACCCTGTTCGATACTCAAATTACATACGATAGAACTGGTCTACTCCTTAACACACACATACACACCGTTACTTGAACATGTTTCCTTAATTGAATGTTTAGTAGCAATAGGACAGGAGCAAGTTTACAAGTTCACAGCTAACTAGTACACTAAATCAGTACAGAGTTGGAGTCAGAGACAGATGATGTAAAGTTTGCGTAACCATGAATTACAACTTGTCAGTGTTTAGAGTGTGCCAGCAATCGCCTACAGAGAGGAAGGGTTGGTTCATTGCTTACAGAGTGGAGAGTGGACTTTTGAGGGTGCCAGCAGCAGAGAGGGTGAGAGAGTGTGTGTGTGTGTGTGTGTGTGTGTGTGTGTGTGTGTGTGTGTGTGTGTGTGTGTGTGTGTGTGTGTGTGTGTGTGTGTGTGTGTGTGTGTGTGTGTGTGTGTGTGTGTGTGTGTGTGTGTGTGTGTGTGTGTGTGTGTGTGTACGCGTGCATTTATACTATCTCTATTTTTTTTATTTTTTTTGCTGGAGTTCCCCTCCAGTAATTTTTCGCCTATCCATCTCTCTGCTTCCCTTGGCCCTCAGCTCGATAAACTTCTCCCTCTCCGGACCCCCAGTTCCATAGAATGTAAAGTATCTCATTACAGCGTAGCTAAAGGACTGGAGCCGTATGCCCTAAAACACACTGATCCTCAGATTATATCCCCAATGTGACATATCGGCCAATCCAGCGAGGCTAAAGGAGGAGGGAGACAGGGTTTACGGACAATATCCCACGCCGGCCACAGACCATGTTTATACATGACTCAGGTTGAGATTCCCGTAACACACCAGGACTGGAATGTGGTTAATGGACCTGGTCAATCATTGTTTTTTCTCTCTGTTTTCTTTTTCTGTCTCTTCCCCTCTGATTGTCTACCTCTCTATTTCTCTTCCTCTCTGTCTCTGTTTATCTCTCTCTTGCTCTCTCTCTCTTTATTTCTGCTTCCTCTGACTCTTAATTATCTCTCTCTCTGTCTCTCTCTCCCTCCTTCTCTTTACAGAGCTCGGCTCCAACCCCCTGAAGAGTGCAGGGATTGAGGCTGGGGCGTTCGGGTCCCTGAAGAAGGTCTCCTACATCCGCATTGCAGACACCAACCTGACAGAGATCCCCAAAGGTACTGCCCATCATAAATCATGCTTCCTTCCTTCCAGTCCCTTGAAGGGATCATAGGAAATCTAACACAAGACTAGGTATAAGCAGGGATCCATAACATAGCTTTCACCTATCCAGTAATTTCCGATCATTTCACTTTAAGGATCCAACTAAAGAATATGGAAAATAAAATGTAATTTCAATGAAGGAAGGCTGTAAGTATTTTGACCACACTGCAACAACAAAAAAATATATTCAACATACTGTATAATTCTAAGGCAACCAGCTGCAATGGGATTGTGAGTTTGCTCAACAAACATTTTGTTGAGCAAACTCACAACAATAAGTTGGTGTGTGAATTTCTTTTGAGCAAACTCACAATTGCAGCTTGATGCCTTACAATTGTACGTTGAATCAACATCTCTTTTTTTTTTTTTTTACAGTGCAGGGCCTGAATCTCTATTTTCAACCAGGACTGGTTTGAATACTTCACAGCTCAATAACTCCAGCTAAAACAAAGGAATTCAAGTAAACAGTGAGGATCAACTCAATCGACCCCAGCCAAAATCATCAATCATCTTGCACTGCAAGAATGCACATTTAGATTCATGGGCTCCACTGAAAAATGGTTACAGTGTGGAACAAAAAGGCTTAAAGAGAGGAAAACCCAAACAGCATATTAATTCAAAGGCGTGCAAGACTAATGTTGTCTGGCCTATTGTGGGAATCTGGCAACCAGTTTAGATGGAATAGTCCTCAGAGAGAGATCCTCTAATCTAATGCTCTAATACTAATAGAAGGGAGGAAGGATAACTCTGGATGTTAGAGGCTGCGTCTGAGCTGGCACCCTATTCCCTATAGTGCACTACTACCTGGTCAAAAGTAGTGCACTATATAGGGATTAGGGTGCCATTTCAGATGCATTAGAATTCGTATGGATTCAGTCCTACTGGCATACTGTATATAGAAATGAACCCCTTACCTTCCCCTCACCATAACTGCTGTGGTTTCCCCGGTTGTTTGTCCTCTCGTCATTGTCTCTCTCCTGTGGGTTGCCAGGTCTTCCCCCCACCCTCTCCGAGCTCCACCTGGACAGCAACAAGATCACCAAGGTGCAGGCGGGCAACCTGAAGGGCCTCAAGAACCTGGCTAAGTAATGATGTTTCCATACTTCTACTCAATGTTTAAAAAACGTTTTAAAAAACAATTTCATAAGTGCTCTTGACGAGGACAAAGCATGCTTACAGTATTATTTTTTACTCTTTGTTACGAGTGTGTCAAAAGACCTGATTAACATCCTCCTGTAGTGGGATATTGGGTCATCTCTAGACAACAGTGCCAGTGTCAAACAAACCCCTAGTATGTGTTTCTCTCTCTCTCTCTCTCTCTCTCTCTCTCTCTCTCTCTCTCTCTCTCTCTCTCTCTCTCTCTCTGCCTCTCTCTCTGCCTCTCTCTCTCTCTCTCTCTCTCTCTGCCTCTCTCTCTCTCTCTCTCTCGCTCTCTCTCTCTCTCTCCCTTCGTCTTCACTCAGTAGTCCACTCTGCTCAACTCTGAGTGAGTTCTGCAATGTGTGCAATTGGAGTCCACTGCTGTATTTGTGAAGCCAGGGCTTGAGAAAGAGCTATACACCAGCACTAGATCTAAGCCAACCAAACAGACTCACTCAGAGAACCCAACTCCCAACTCCTGGTTCTCTCTCACTCCCTGTGGCTGTGCCTGTCAGAGCTCTCTCTCTCTCTCTCTCTCTCTCTCTCTCTCTCTCTCTCTCTCTCTCTCTCTCTCTCTCTCTCTCTCTCTCTCTCTCTCTCTCTGGCGCTCTCTCTCTCTGGCTCTCTCTCTCTCTGGCTCTCATTAAAACGTTGAGGACGTTGATTTATCAAGGCATTATGTGATGAGAGTTTTAACAAAATGCATATGAAAGTAATGTTTCTGAAAATGAAATAACTGGGTTTATAAGATCACCGCTTTGAGGGTAGGAAAAGATTCCTGCCAAAATACGGAGACTAAACAACAGAAAAATACTTTCATGCAGTACAAGGCAGTTTATTTTGGAAGAGCTACAGGATTCACTAATAATATTATTTTCCATTTTCTGGATCGGCAACACGTTCACTAGCGTGTATTTCATTTTGTCGACGAAGTTGGGCAGTGGTCCCTTGGTACAAGTAAAGCCTCTTTGTCATTTGCTAGTATACATTCTGCCCATGGTTTTTATTGGCTGAAAACCAGTTTGTGTCTTTCCCATTGGATGTTTTCTTTCCTTTTTCTCTAATTTGTTTTTATACATTCTGTACCACACAAACTTTGGGACTTGTAGGGACAGCTCAGGGCTTCGTGCCCTCTTCTATCTCTCCTCTTCTGTACCTCTGTCTCATTGGCTCTTTTACACACCGTGTCTCTTTCCCATTAGCTCTGACACATTCTGTGTCTCTCCCCATTGGCTGGTTTGTCTCCTAGGCTGGGTCTAAGCTACAATGAGATCAGCCAGGTGGAGAACGGTTCTCTGGCCATGGTTCCTCACCTCAGAGAGCTTCACCTGGACAACAATGCCCTGACAACCGTGCCCGCAGGTCTGCCTGACCACAAGTACATCCAGGTGGGTTCCATCGGACACACAGGTGTCCCATCACACCTGGGAGAATGGGTAGAGGCGTCATGTCCATGAATATTCCACCTCACACAGGGTTTTCTCAGGAGGGCGTAACCATTACAGACCAATCTGATGATGATGATGATAATAAAATAGAAATAAGTTGATTAACACAGAATCCATTCAACAAAAGGAATTGTGTTAGCTTTATACATTACATTTCTATATATGCAATGTTCATTCCCATACATCCATCCCCCTAACCACCCATTGTGATTGATATCTTCCCAGGTGATCTACCTCCACAGCAACAAGATAGGAGTGGTGGGCACCGAGGACTTCTGCCCACCAGGCTACAATACCAAGAAGGCCATGTACTCTGGTATCAGCCTGTTCTCCAACCCCGTCCCTTACTGGGAGGTGCAGCCCATCACCTTCCGCTGTGTGTTCGACCGCTCCGCCATCCAGCTGGGCAACTACAGGAAGAAGTAGAAAAAAAGTACTCCCCCCCAGAGAGAGAGAAAGAGAGTGTGTGTGTGTAAGTGTGTAAGTGTGTGTGTGTGTGTGTATGTGAACTGCAGCACCCCACCCACCCCACAACACTGATCGGCAACTTTATCCCCATTTTATACAAAAATTCACCCAAACCAAGTTATTTGGAGTCGTTATCTAAAAACCATAACGAACATCCAATACAGTTTTAACAGTCACGGTACTTAATGTTTTCATGAGCAAAGACAGAACAGTTACAATACTCAGCACCAAACCTTCCTTAGATGGCTTAGTAATAACTCAAACCAGCTCTGTATGCAAACATTTGATTTATAATAGTCCATGTACCATACATACATTTCATATTCTAAAACAGTAATCACTGGCATTATCCTGTAGCAGGTCTCCCATACACAATAAACTGTCAACTCATTAAATACTGTTACACTACATCATGGTACAGTAGTTATCTGTCAAAAAGCTCAACTTAAAGGGGCTCTCCACCACTTGTCAACTTCATGTTCATTATCTCCAGCACAATATCATTGTCTACATATGTGAAAACGGCACATTCCTACGTTTTGTAGAAAAAAATATATCAAGTTAAAAAGTTATACCCAATGACATCATCAAGACAATAACATCCCTCTGGCTAGAAACTCGTTGCAGGTTTTGAAAATCACTTTTTTATTTTTACTTTTAATCTTACCCTGTGATGTCACAGAGAAGCCTTTTTTTAGACCTTTCTTCTTATCTTTTTTAACCACAGATCATAGACAAAACAACGTGCCGTTTCCACACATGTAGATACTGGTATGGTGCTGGAGATAATGAATATGGGGTTGAAAAGTGGCGGAATTGTCCTTTAACAGAAGTCTGTGCAATGGTTTCGGAGTGTGTACCCTCAGATTGCATGACTGGAATTTTATTTTGTTTGTGAAAGAAACATTATGAAAGACAACAAAATATTTTGTACAACACAAAAAATATCTATGACCACTTTGAAAATATGTACACGATTAACCCTTTAATAACTCACACATGTCAACTTGTTGAGATTGGCCGTAAAAACATCCGAAAAATCTGAATTGGGCCACAAGCCTTTACGTGCATAATTCTGTGACAATTACAGTAGGTAAGCTGACCTGCGGAGCGGGCAGCGAAGGGTTAATGTGTGTCTTAATACCATTAACTCCAGCTAGGATACTAGAATGTACTAGAGTATATTACCTGTGTAGTAGCTAGCGTTCAAAGTGTACCGTTACAATATGTCGTACTCTTTGAAAGAATTCCGATTTTCTTTCTTTCACATTGTAGTCGATTGCCTGCTTGCTTCAGTGATGGTTTAAAGTTGTTGTTTTTACTAAATGTCACAACAGTTTTAAGATTTTTTTCTTCTTTTTCACATTCCATTCCCCCTCTGTCATGTAATATCAGCTCATACAACCAAGATGAAAATAGCTCTTAAAGATGTAGAATAAACAATATGTACGTTCCGAAACAGAAGCCATGCCCAAAGATATATACGCATGCTTTTCTTCTTTTGACTTGAAGCGAGGTTGTGGTTTCTGGAATGCCATGCTAATGCCCGTTTTGCTTCTCTTCTATTTTTCTTTGCCTTTCTTTTTTAAAGTCTGAAGAGTATTGGAGGATGCAGGCGGACTGTCATGCCTTCAGTGCCCATGTTAGTGTGAATGTTTGTATGTATAGACGCTGTATATAAATGCTGTATAAAAAAAAAACTCTCATTGCTTAAAAGCACAATCACTTACAGTAGTCCAGACTTAATATATCAACAATAAAGATGTTCCTCTCTTTTTTCCAAGCAGGGGCTCCGCCTAAGGTGTCCTGAACCAAATAAAAATACCAATTAAAAAGCAGCATTTTTCTGAGGGTGTCGCCATCAGAGGTCATAACCCTTGGTATGTCCACATTGTGTGTGTCATTGTCATAGAGTTGGAAAGAGGGCCCACCCCCTATCTTTGCCATTATTGCTTCTGTTATAGCATTAGTTTTGTGACAAGTGCGCCCTCTAACCAACTCTATGGTAGGTGTGTGGAGGGCGCTACTTGCCCTGTCACTAGATGGCGCTGTAATATCTATGGCACAGTATAGACTTCACAGTGATGGACAGAGTTTCCAGGTGAACAAGGTCGTGAGGAGGAACAGGTGAGAAAGTATTCACACTGTAATATTCTACACTCACACACCAAATGCTATGAGTGCTGGAGAGACTCTTAGAACACTCTTAAAAGTTCAAAGGCACTCATAACAAGTAGGCATACGTGTTTTTGTGCAAGCAACAGCTGTAGGCTATGGCTATAGAGGATTAATGGGCTATCAGGTCTGAATTGAATGGTGTATTTATAAGGGGCAATGTTTTCTGTAGTTGCCAGAACTATTGTTGTGCTGGCTCTCTGTTGTGGGGTTTTCAGAGAAGTTCAGGGAGGGGAAATGGTGGTCTGAAACAAAACAAGATCCAAAGTAAACAGTAAGAGTGAGGGAATGTGGATGCTCCAGAAAAATATTATATCAACAAACAGCTGACGGCAATAGATTTGTTAAAACTCACATCACTTCAGTGGATATTAGCTACATTTCTGGATTTGATTTTAAATATTTAAAAGTGACAACCAATCAAGTAAAATGTAAATTGTCTATGGTTGTGGTTGAATAGTGTTGGGTATCAAGATAGATCGTAAATACGGTATATAATCTAATAGCTGACAGATTTGATACAAGGCCAGTGACACCCAGATAACTGTGGTAAAAAAAAAGAAGATTTCTCCCCAAAAACAGGTCTGCTCTATAGGGGACACTCTTCAGTCTTTTTCATGAATCACTCCCACACACAAGGCAGCATGCCCTGGACCTATGAACTAATGGAAGGTATTTGCCATCTGATAACAACAAAGATATACACTTTTAAACAAGTTTCTTCCCTTGACCATTTAACAAACCCGATTATAGTATATTTACTTTAATATGAACAGTATGGATATCATTCATGGCGTAAGAGATGTCTGTAAAGCCTCCATGATTCCTTGTATTGATATCATTCACAGCGTAAGAGATGTCTGTAAAGCCTCCATGATTCCTTGCAGATTTGGGTCATCTACACACACTGAGATACCAAATAATACACATCTCGCATATTGACAGGGAGATATTTATACAGCAGTGTTTCCCAAACCTCTCTGTGAGTACTCCCAGCTGTTCCACTTATTTGACCTATTCCATTACTAGCACACCTGGTCAATTTATATTCAAACCTAGATTAAAATCAAGTGCGCTCAGCCTGGCCTCAGAGCCATACTATACATATTTACATTTTAGTCATTTAGCAGACGCTCTTATCCAGAGCGACTTACAGTTAGTGAATACGAATCCAGGCCGGCTGCGACAGAGCCTGGATTCGAACCAGGATCTCTAGAGGCACAGTTAGCACTGCGATGCAGTGCCTTAGACCACTGCGCCACTCAGGAGTACATATAGACGAGTTGGTTGTTTAGCAACAAAACCGACGCGTGCGCAACTTTGGGGCATAACAGACGGGGTTGGGTTAGATTGTTGACAACATGTCAACTATATTTAGTCTCCAAATGTTTATTGAAAACAAATACATTTGCACAATGAGCACTTGTTGTCTCTTAAATACGTTGTTACAGTTGTTGGTTAGCTAGCTAGTGAATTTTAGCCATATTAGCATAGACATGAAATCAGTCAAAACACGTCAAAACAAGACATGGTATCAAGAATAAGATTAAACTAGGTGAAACGAGCCACCTACAATTCCCCACATGACAGCTTCTTGTCATTGTTGCTAGCTTTCTGATTGTTCAGAATCATAACAAAGCACGGCTTCCGACCACATCGATGTGCGCCCAGCATTTTCGTGACATTGTCAGCCAACCCGTCTATTTCTGAGCACCTCCAAGACTTAAACAGAAAGTATGGAGGTTGGTCGGGGAGGAAGGGTGGGCTTAAACCGCGACCATCTAGCAAAAGGTTGCGCGTTCAAGTCACGTCGGGGACAACTGTAGCATTTTAGCAGGATTGGGTAGGTTACTTTCTAAATGTAATCCGTTAGTTACTAGTTACCAGTCCAAAATTGTGAACAGTAATGTAACTTTTGGATTACCCAAACTCAGTCAAATAATCGGACTACTTTCAGTTACTTTTGGATTACTTTCCCCTTAAGAAGCATTAGAAGAAGACAAAAAGGATCCATCAAATGCATTTGGTGTGTCATCATAGTGGTCTCTGTCATCATAGTGGTCTCTGTCATCATAGTGGTCTCTGTCATCATAGTGGTCTCTTTCAAAGTATCTGTAATCCTATTACTGATTAGAATAGTTTTGCTGGTAACGTAACTGATTACAGTTTGGTTGTAATCAAATTACATGTAACTGAATACATAATCAGTTACTCCCAAACGTTGCATTTTAGTTTAACCCTTCCCCTAACCCTTATTCTAACCTTAACCCAATTCACCTAACCTTTTACGTAAATTATCCTAACCGTTGTCGTTAGTTCTCCTAACCACCAACGTAAATTCTCCCTGTAATTCTCCTTTGTTGTTAAGATGCAACAAGCAACCTGGTCTCAGAGAATGACGTATGATACAATACCCCTTGCCAAGATGTATGATAAGTAAAGTCATCCAATTCGTATTTCATTGTACGACCAGATAAGACGTATGATACTATACGTCCTCTAAGTCGTATGATATTGTATGCTATTCTATTCATAATGTAACCTAACGTAACGCAATATATCATACAAAATGGAGAGAATATATTTACGCTGAGACAAGGTTGGTGTTCTAGTACTGGAATATATCAAATGAGTGAATGGTACAGTATTCTGGTGTTATGTACTTCTTGTCACAATGGGACCTGTTATGTAGTGAGTAATACACAGTAATACTAAATGCTCTACAGAAGGTGGATTTCCAAAGCAATATCTGGAGCTGTAACAGAAGAAAAGGTAGGTGCCAAATTAGCCTATTCTACCTGAACACAAATTGCACTTTAATTTATCACTGTATCAAAAGCTGTATCTACTGTCCATTTAAAAACTGTCATTTCTAGAGAGATTTATGATTTTTATGGCTTACTGTATAAGCAAACAAGGTCTTCATTTAAATAACTGCCCATAACATAAGGATTACCAGAGAGCTATTTGACTGGTCTGGAGTCCCAACCAGTAAGGTGATTGGTGGACGTTATAAGGAAGGTGGAGCATTTAGATCCATGACAGGAATGCATCAGTGTTGGAGCCTCTGGCAGTGGCACACACATCACCCCTGTCGCCCCCATGTGGTGCGTATTGGTAGAGCTCTTCTCCATCGCGCTCTCTGTCGACCCCTCTGCACACACACACACACACAAACACACAGTCCATCCTCTGGAGTAGTCAGTGCCAGGGGATGGTGTGTGTGTGTGTGTGTGTGTGTGTGTGTGTGTGTGTGTGTGTGTGTGTGTGTGCGCGTGCGTGCGTGCGTGCGTGTCTATACATACATGCACACGCGTGTTTGTGCACACACGGGTTGGCGGGTACATGCATGTGTGTATGTTATGGCTTGCGTCATGTGCATATGTGTGTGTGTGAGGGAGAGACAGGCAGGAGAAGGTGCATGCATGCCAGTGTGAATGTCTCTATCCATGTGCTCATGTGCCA